AATCAGAGCAGACGTAGTCAGATGGGAAAGCCGAGGTCATTCACAGAGAAGTGAGAGGGAGAGAGAGAGAGAGAGTATCCGTAAGTCAAGCCGAGGTCAGATCAGGGGTAAATCAGAGTAGACAGGTCCAGGAGCAAGCAGAGTCAGTGACAGGAAATCACAAGTCAGAATCTCAGGGAACAGGGCACAGGGAGCTACAAATCATCCAGCAACCAGAGGAAGTGACGAGCCTCCTTATAAAGGCCATCTGGCACCAAACTGAGGCTGATGTGTCCTTCTGCAGCCATGTAGAGTATTCTACATGGCTGCAGAAGAGTAGATCTTCCATAACTCCTGCCGTGGACAGGACCCTGACAGAACCATTCCGCATTACTTCACCGACACATGCCGATTCCTTGCTACTGCTCTCCTGAAGGTGGTTTAACCTTTTCAGGGCCAAAAGTCCTTCCTGAAGGGACCACAACCCAAACAGTGCTGAAATATACTTGCCAGCCAAGACACATCCCTGGTGTCCTATACAGGGGTAATGTGATTAACAGACAGGGCGGTGCTGAGGGTTAGACATAAGAGGGTTTAGGGTTGAAGGCTCTTTTCTAACATCTCTCCAAGCCTCTGGATTCCAGGACCTAGTCAGGTCCATAAATATTGGGACATCGACACAATTCTAACATTTTTGGCTCTATACACCACCACAATGGATTTGAAATGAAATGAACAAGATGCGCTTTAACTGCAGACTGTCAGCTTTAATTTGAGTGTATTTACATAAAAATCAGGTGAACGGTGTAGGAATTGCAACAGTTTGCATATGTGCCTCCCACTTATTAAGGGACCAAAAGTAATGGGACAGAATATTAATCATAAATCAAACTTTCACTTTTCAATACTTGGTTGCAAATCCTTTGCAGTCAATTACAGCGTGAAGTCTGGAACGCATAGACATCACCAGACGCTGGGTTTCATCCCTGGTGATGCCAGGCCTCTCCTGCAACTGTCTTCAGTTCCTGCTTGTTCTTGGGGCATTTTCCCTTCAGTTTTGTCTTCAGCAAGTGAAATGCATGCTCAATCGGATTCAGGTCAGGTGATTGACTTAGCCATTGCATAACATTCCACTTCTTTCCCTTAAAAAACTCTTTGGTTGCTTTTGCAGTATGCTTTGGGTCATTGTCCATCTGCACTGTGAAGCGTTCAATGAGTTCTGAAGCATTTGGCTGAATATGAGCAGATAATATTGCCCGAAACACTTAAGAATTCATCCTGCTGCTTTTGTCAGCAGTCACATCATCAATAAATACAAGAGAACCAGTTCCATTGGCAGCCATACATGCCCACGCCATGACACTACCACCACCATGCTTCACTGATGAGGTGGTATGCTTAGGATCATGAGCAGTTCCTTTCCTTCTCCATACTCTTCTCTTCCCATCACTCTGGTACAAGTTGATCTTGGTCTCATCTGTCCATAGGATGTTGTTCCAGAACTGTGAAGGCTTTTTTAGATGTCGTTTGGCAAACTCTAATCTGGCCTTCCTGTTTTTGAGGCTCACCAATGGTTTCCATCTTGTGGTGAACCCTCTGTATTCACTCTGGTGAAGTCTTCTCTTGATTGGTGACTTTGACACACATACACCTACCTCCTGGAGAGTGTTCTTGATCTGGCCAACTGTTGTGAAGGGTGTTTTTCTTCACCAGGGAAAGAATTCTTCATAAATCCACCACAGTTGTTTTCCGTGGTCTTTCGGGTCTTTTGGTGTTGCTGAGCTCACCGGTGCGTTCGTTCTTTTTAAGAATGTTCCAAACAGTTGTTTTGGCCATGCCTAATGTTTTTGCTATCTCTCTGATGGGTTTGTTTTGTTTTTTCAGCCTAATGATAGCTTGCTTCACTGATAGTGACAGCTCTTTGGATCTCATCTTGAGAGTTGACAGCAACAGATTCCAAATGCAAATAGCACACTTGAAATTAACTCTGGACCATTTATCTGCCCATTGTAATTGGGATAATGAGGGAATAACACACCTGGCCATGGAACAGCTGAGAAGCCAATTGTCCCATTACTTTTGGTCCCTTAATAAGTGGGAGGCACATATGCAAACTGTTGTAATTCCTACACCGTTCACCTGATTTGGATGTAAATACCCTCAAATTAATGCTGACAGTCTGCAGTTAAAGCACATCTTGTTCGTTTCATTTCAAATCCATTGTGGTGGTGTATAGAGCCAAAAATGTTAGAATTGTGTCGATGTCCCAATATTTATGGACCTGACTGTATATCAAGACTTAACAATCCTGGGAAAACTGCAAATCGGTTTTCCTTCTTTAACGTATCACCTCGGGACCTCTCACCCTGAACAGGTAAGAATCCCTACATTTTCAAAATATGCTTCTTGTGCCGTCGCCTTTAGAGGGATCGCATCCTAAACCATGGTGACACAAATCTAGCATCCAGCACCCGCCTTTGGCATTCTGTATAGAGTATACTACAGACGTCCTGAGATCTATGAGAAGGGAGAGAGTCGGCTGTTCCAACAAGGTGATGGTGCAGAGGAGGAATTACGGGAGGAATGATAGATGGGTCTATGGACTGATGGACTTATCACTGGAGTATACTACAGACATCCTGAGGTCTATGAGAAGGGGGAGAGTCGGCTGTTCCAACAAGGACAAGCTGGGAACACCAAACTACTAAGACACAAGATGAAGACTAAAACCTACAGGATGGGCCGTACTTGTAGTGCTAAAAAATGGAGGAGAAAAGAGGAGAAAGAGAATGGAGGAGTAGAGAAAAGAAGACAAGACTGACCTTGTGGTGATGGTGCGGAGGAGGAATTACGGGAGGAATGATAGATGGGTCTATGGACTGATGGACTTATCATTGGAGTATACTACAGACGTCCTGATGTCTTTTATGAAACTCTCAGGTATCTTTCCAACTATAGAAGTTATACGAACCGGCTTGTAGCTACTTGGTAAAGAGTTTCATCCCTTTTTGAATATAGGCACCACATTGGCCTTGTGTAGGGGTACTGAGCCAGTAATGAAAGAGTCTGTAAATATTAGAAACAATGAGTTTGAAAAAACAGAACTCAGCTCTTTGAGGACACATATATGTGAAGATACACACACAACGTCCGGTCAGACACACACCCACACTGTTAGGTCAGAGGAAAATCCTTAAAATCAGGACAGAGACACACAAAGTCGAAGCAGAGTCATCTAGTAACCGAGCGAGCAATCTGCCGAGCAGAATGGGAGCTGTTGATGGTTTCAGTGATGAGAATGGAGTTGGTGTTCCAGAAACACGACTTGGCTCCTCCCAACACTGGGCTGTTTGTATTCATGCCGATCCTCTTGTTTAGACATAGAAAAGATGGAGGGGGGTTTCTCTATGTTAGATGTGATGTGAAAGCGAGGAAGAAAGATGACCTTGTGGTTGGAGGTGGTGATGGTGTGGAGGGGGAATTACAGGAGGAAAGATAGATGGGTCTATGGACTGATGGACTTATCATTGGACTATACTACAGACGTCCTGAGATTTATGAGAAGGGGGAGAGTCGGCTGTTCCAACAAGGTGATGGTGTGGAGGAGGAATTACGGGTGGAATGATAGATGGGTCTATGGACTGATGGACTTACCATTGGAGTATACTACAGACGTCCTGAGGTCTATGAGAAGGGGGAGAGTCGGCTGTTCCAACAAGGACAAGCTGGGAACACCAAACTACTAAGACACAAGATGGAGACTAAAACCTACAGGATGGGCCGTACTTGTAGTGTTAGAGAAAGGAATAAAGGAGAAGAACATTTTATCACACAAATCTGAAGGAAGACTTTTATCAATCAACTTACAAATTATATCAGGAGTTTAAAAATATACAATTTAGCTTAATTTGTTTTTTTTACTTAACTATATATATTACCATATTTGCATTTTTATCAGGTATATATCAAATATTTACTTCATATTTTCCACTTTCATCCAGCAGGTGGCACTCTCCAAGCAAATGAAGCTGCCTGGGCAGGTGGATAACCATTGCATTGAAATTATCAGTCCGGTCGTGTAGTCTGATCTCCCCTTCTCTTCATCCACAAGCAATATCTAGCTTCTCCCTCACCATGATGTCCTCTATGGAAGCTTCTGCTGAAGGTCAGGGGAGATCAGACTACACTGCTAGAGGGACCCAACCAGCAGTGACCCCCCCCCCTTCTCTCTCAGCATGATGTCCTCCTATGAAGCTTCTGCTGAAGGTCAGGGGAGAGCAGACTACACTGCAAGAGGGACACAACCAGCAGTGACCCCCCCCTCCTTCTCTCTCACCATGATGTCCTCCATGGAAGCTTCTGCTGAAGGTCAGGGGAGAGCAGACTACACTGCAAGAGGGACACAACCAGCAGTGACCCCCCCCTCCTTCTCTCTCACCATGATGTCCTCCATTGAAGCTTCTGCTGAAGGTCAGGGGAGATCAGACTACACGGCTAGAGGGACCCAACCAGCAGTAACACCCCCTCCTAGCAGAGGAAGCCAGACACGACTTTGAAGTCTTTAGTGATCTCTGATCTCCTTATAAAGTGTTTCTTCCATGATAAAGATCAGAGGAGCGCTCAGCCACATGTTTTCTGAGGTGTATATCAAGGTGTGCTTCTTCCCAGTGTGAGATCTCTGATGTACGGCAACAGATCATCCATCTAGAAGACATTTCCCACACTCAGGACACTAATACACCTCGAGGGTTGTGTGGGATCTCTGATGTCTGGTAAGATCAGACTTCTGTGTAAAACATTTCCCACACTCAGGACAGAAATACAGCTTTCTCCTGTGTGAGATTTTCAATTGATGTGTGGGTGAGGTGTGATTTCCATTAAAAAAATTTTCCAGAGATTAGGATACCTAGCAAGACTGGATCGATCTGGAAAATGGTCCCTCCTCTTTGTGAGATCTTTGATGTTTAACAAGGTTTATTTTATGCTTATAACATTTCCCGCACGCTGAACAGGAATACGGCTTCTCCCCTGTGTGAGATCTCTGATGTCTGGAAAGACTGAACTTCTCTGAAAAACATTTCCCGCACTCAGTACAGGAAAACAGTTTCTCCCCCGTGTGACATCTTTGATGTTTAACAAGGTTCATTTTATGCATATAACATTTCCCGCACTCTGGACAGGCATACGGCTTCTCACCAGTGTGAGATCGCCGATGTTTGGAAAGAATGGAGCTCTCCGAAAAGCATTTCCCGCACTCAGGGCAGGAATATGGCCTCTCCCCTGTGTGAGATCTTTGATGTTTAACAAGGTCGTTTTTATGTTTATAACATTTCCCGCACTCTGGACATGCATGCGGCTTCTCGCCAGTGTGAGACATTTGATGCTTGGAAAGACTGGACTTCTCTGAAAAGAATTTCCCGCACTTAGGGCAGGGATACAATTTCTCCCCTGTGTGAGTTCTTTGATGTTTACCAAGGTCTGATTTGTTTGAAAAACATTTCCCGCACTCAGGGCAAGAATGAGGCTTCTCCCCCGTGTGAGATCTCTGATGTATAACAAGCACTGATTTATATGTATAGCATTTTCCACACTCGGGGCAGGCATACGGCCTCTCACAGTGTGCGACTTCTGATGTGTGTAAAGATGGAACTTATGTGAAAAATATTTCCCACACTCAGAGCAGGAATATGGTTTCTCACCTGTATGTATTCGGAGATGTCTGGAAAGATGGGACTTCTGTGAAAAACATTTCCCACACTCAGGGCAAGAATAAAGCTTTTCACTAGTGCGAGATCTCTGATGTACAGAAAGACTTAATCCAGAGCAAAAACCTTCCCCCCCATTCAGGACAGCGAAATGTCTTCTCCCCCTGAACCCCAGCCCCATCCCCCACAGTACGAGGTTGCTCAGAGTCAGAAGGACTCCATAGTCTCTCCACACTGGGAAGTCCACCATCCATAGTGGAGCTCATTGTCTTTTCTCCGGCACAATCTCCTGGGATGTCCTCATCTTCCATTTTACAACCTGGAGATAAAGTGAGACGATCCTTTGAGGGTTTCTCCATGGCGGGTCCTGGAAAAATAGAAAAACATCATCAATAGATAGGAGAGGGTTAGTTCACTTCCATCAAGATTCCATCTGGATCAGGGAGATAGGAGGGAGCAGATGTTCTCTGTGGATTTCGCAACCAGCTGGGACTCCTCCCCTCTTCAATCAAATGGCCTTTGCTCCTCCTCCCAGATCACTTCTACATTTACACCGCCTTGTCAGAGGAGCAGGAACCAATGGGGGCTGGGGGGCGGTAACAGAGCAGAGATAAGAGAAGAATATATTCTGGTCACCTGTGCTGATCTCTGTAGGAGTGTCCTCCTCTATGAATGTCCTCCTCATTCCAGCCTCCTCCGTATATTGCTGATCATTCCTCACATACGTCTCTTCTACTTCACCCTCAACTTTCATGTTCATCAGATCTTCACCCTAAACCAACAGAATGGCAGAAAATAACATCTGTAACATAGAAGGATTTATGATGTGAGATCACATAGAACATCTCATCTTGTAGAGTCCACACATCGTCTCCACATGTCAGAGTGTTCCATCACTTTATGTTCCCGACCCTCAACTCCACCGACCTGATGATGGTGAGGGATGGTGTGACCTTCCTGTGTGGAATCCCGGGAATACAGAGGACGGGGACATCTCTCTGGTTGGTTCCTGGTATTAGGTGGATCCATCATATCCTTGTGTCCTTTAGAAAGATCCTCCATCACTCCATACTCCTCATCCTCCTCTTTATACTCTTCTTTGGGAACAATATTATATACTCCAAGATTTCCATTCTGGATAAATAAAAAAAAAACATTCATTGTAACAAACAAGCTTTTGTATAATTCAAAGATACCAGTGATTGTTCCTCATCTACCTGATGATGGTGAGGGATGCTGGGATCTTCCTGTGTGGAATCCCAGGAATACAGAGGACGGGGACATCTCTCTGGTGGGTTCCTGTATCTGGATGACTCCACCATGGTGTCCTGGTACAGATCTTTGTGTCTTTCTGGAATCTCTGACTTGTCCTTCCCCCCATCCTCATCCTCCTCCTCTTTTATCTCTTCTTTAACCTCAACTGTAGAATCTCTCAGGTTTCCACTCTGAATATATAATAAAATGACATCAATGGTAACAATGCAGATAATGTACAGATCCTAATGATACTATCAGTGATTGTTCCTCATCTACCTGATGATGGTGAGGGATGGTGGGACCTTCCTGTGTGGAATCCCAGGAATACAGAGGACGGGGACATCTCTCTGGTGGGTTCCCATGACTGGATCCATCTACCTGATGATGGTGAGGGATGGTGTGACCTTCCTGTGTGGAATCCCGGGAATACAGAGGACGGGGACATCTCTCTGGTGGGTTCCCATGACTGGATCCATCTGTAGGAAACACACACACTGACTGAATCCATTGTTTCTATGTGTTTATCAGATGATGGGGGATCTAGGTGGACCCTCCGTACTGCTCTCTCCTTTCCAATAAAGTCTCCTCTTACCCGGTGATGTGAGGGGCGGCTGATTGTCCATCATGAAGTCCTTGTAGAGGTCCTTGTGTCCTTCTAAATACTCCCACTCCTCCATGGAGAAATAGACAGTGACACCCTGACACCTTATAGGAACCTGACACACACAATGATACAGTCACCATCCAGACACATCCCTTATAGAAATCCTTGTGCCCCTAAAAAAGACGTCACAGTGACGGTGGAGGGAGAGGACAGGCGTGACGGTGGAGGGAGAGGACGGGCGTGACGGTGGAGGGAGAGGACGGGCGTGACGGTGGAGGGAGAGGACGGGCGTGACGGTGGAGGGAGAGGACGGGCGTGACGGTGGAGGACGGGCGTGACGGTGGAGGGAGAGGACGGGCGTGACGGTGGAGGGCGTGACGGTGGAGGGAGAGGACGGGCGTGACGGTGGAGGAGGGAGGAAGGGCGTGACGGTGGAGGGAGAGGACGGGCGTGACGGTGGAGGGAGAGGACGGGCGTGACGGTGGAGGGAGGAGGCCGGTGGAGGGGAAGAGGAGGATGGACATGATGGGGGGGGTTACTGGGTGTAAATAGAAAATAGGATCTTATTACCTCCTCTGCTGCCACTTCCACCGATGTCTCCTCTCTATTTCCAGAACTTATTTATTCCTGACATCACTTCCTGTCTTCCATACAGACTTCCGGTCTGGGTAGAAGCGAGATCCCCACCTTGTGGAGCTCAGAGGAACTGCAGCCCTGAGAAGCGTCTGGTAGTGTGACCCCCGGCCTTGTGCTGGGTGTGTATGGACTGTATGTCCTCATAGAGGGGTCACCTCCACTCCCACCAAGGGGGACAGAAATATATGACTGATCGGGATGAGTGGAGGGATTTTGAAACCTTTGGTTTTGCAGCAAAACTGATTATGGTTTTGGTCATGATGACCTCTAATTTTTTTACTTCGAGGTGCTTCGAGAAATTTGCTTGGAAAAACTTACATACCTTGATTTGCAAGCCCCATGATGCTCCTGTTCATCCAACCAAGACTCAGGAGGAGGTGGAATGGGTGTCGTGGGTCACCCCCTCACTGTCCTCATCAGATGTACAAAGCAGAAGGCAGTTGTCCTCTACTGCAGCAGAGCACCCAGGGAGATCAGGATGGGGCCCCATACCGCAGTACAGATGGGATGGGGAATGACCCTTTCTCTCTGGCACATGGATATAACAAAAAACCCAGCAGAGAGGAAAGGGTGGAAATGGCTCCTGATCTCCAAGATGTGATGGTGGAAGAAGAAAAGAAGCAGAATACAGCAGAGGTCCAGGTTGAAGGGAAAGTGTAAGGAGATGGAACTTCAACGGTCTGATGAGAGCCCCATCATAGAGGCATTAATTCCAGTTATGGCTGCTCACATAGAGCTGACATCTTTTTTTTGGGGGGGACAGTGAGGATGGAAAAGAATGTTGATTGTTGATGCTCCAGTATCTGGTATGGTAGATCTGGTGCAGCAGGGGAGACAGCATCAATGAGGGTGGAAGACCACCCAACAGCCTCTATAAAAGAGCACTGGACAGCAGGATGCATGCACTCAGCTATGGAAGGTCTGACTCATGCCCACCAAAGCAGCCAAGGTGGTTCCTGCACCCTGAGGGTCTTTTTCTTCTCCAGCCAAAGGAAACATCTGTAGCATTCTTTAACCTCTGTATCACGTACCTGGTGATGGAGGCCAATGGAGAGAGGGCTTCCCTTGTGGCTAAGTTCCGGACTCCCCTGAGAGTGGGACAGTGGGAGTCAGGCCCAAAGTTTCACAGGTCGCCTGTAGGAGTGCTGGTTGGTGGTCCAGAGATAGGTCTGCAGACAGGAGGCGCCTGTGTGTGGTATGCAAGCCCTTCCGGGATTTGGATGTTTACTGAGTAGTCGGTTCAAGCCAAGGTCAGGTACCAGGTGGGAATCAGAGCAGACATAGTCAGATGGGATAGCCGAGGTCATTCACAGAGGAGCAAGAGAGAGAGTATTCGTAAGCCAAGCCGAGGTCAGATCAGGGGTAAGGCAGAGTAGACAGGTCCAGGAGCAAGCCGAGTCAGTAACAGGAAATCACAAGTCAGAAACACAGGGAACAAGGCACGGGGAGCTAGAGATCATCCAGCAACTTGAGGAAGTGATGATCCTCCTTATAAAGGCCATCTGACACCACACTGAGGCTGATGTGTCCTTCTGCGGCCATGTAGAGTACTGGCAGAAATGCCAGATCTTCCAGAACTCCTGCCGTGTACAGGACCCTGACACTCTACCTGTAGAAGATACATAGAAGGAAGTCAGGATCTCACGTGGGAGGAAGCAGTCTCCACGGGAGGTCAATAGGTTCTAGCAATTCCCTGGTGACCTGTGAGTAGTGTACAGGGCAGGTATTTACAAAGCGTCAATAGAATATGAATTCTCTCCCTTACTCTGAAGCCTTATTTACCACTGTTCTCCAGACCACAAAAATTCTTGACATCCATCCCAGCTAGTAGACATGTAGCTATGCAAAACTGGGAGTATATCTACCCTGACACATTTAGTACCTTTGAGGAACTTCTACAGGATGTAAATGTCCCACAGACTTCCCGGCACAGGTATTCCCGTTGGCTTATAGGTAAAAATGTAACCCTTTCAGCCATAATTAAATCAGATGACCATCGTGACATTTTGGTGGGGCAGGGTGGTTGTCCGTGAGTCGGTCACACCCTAAAGTCACAAAAAAAAAAAAAAATTTTGGAAGAGATTTTCAGAGTGTTATCAGGGACAGTCACGGGTTAGTGGACAGAGCTGAAAATGCACATATGTATGTGTAGAAATGGTGGACATAAGGTCCTGGGCTTGGATCATTCGTCTTTCAATCTGGAACCATTAGTTGGGCTTGATGACTTAATCCTTGGCATATGTACCCACAGCAAAAAAAAAATAGTACCTCCTTGATGGCCACCAAACCTGTATTGGTCGGACCAGCATGTGGATAGACTGCTGAAAGACAGACAGGATCTTCTTGTCAAGCTCCAGTAGACTTCAACAAACTGGCGGCCATCTGCACAGACTCCCTGTTGCATGAATATAAATGATATGGGCGAAAGATGGTTTCAGCTCCTGTTCTCCAACTGTAGAGAACTCCCCAGACGTGTTTCGTCCTTCGGGCTTAATCGTAGAGACCTCTACGACACAGTTGGTTTCCTTGTGCAGACAGCCACCATTTTGTTGACATCTACTGGAGCCTGACAAGTGAATCCTTGGCAGCTCCGCCAGAATCCTGGGAGCCCCAAAATAGGAGAAAAGGCCTCAACAAAATGGCGGCCATCTGCACAGACTCCCTGTTGCATGAATGTAAATGATATGGGTGAAAGATGGTTTCAGCTCCTGTTCTCCAACTGTAGAGAACTCCCCAGATGCGTTTCGTTCTTTGGGCTTAATCGTAGAGACCTCTACGACACAGTTGGTTTCTGTGTGCAGACAGCCACCATTTTGTTGACGTCTACTGGAGCCTGATGTCTACTGGAGCCAAAATCCTGGGAGCCCCAAAATAGAAGAAGCCTCCACTGAGAAATTCAAGCGAGACAGACAAAGGAACACCAGATGGTCGTCTTAAGATTCCATGAACATTTATTGGTGAGACAACAGAATGAGCCAACATTTCAAAGCACCAAACAATGCCCCCTTCACGAGGGCTTGGAAAAGAATACTAGTTTCCCAAGACAAGTCCATTGCGACTAATATTGCTTCTTTTTTTAACGTAGAACCATTTCTAGATGCTTTAATAATGGTCCGATGTTGCTGGTGCAGCATGGCCAATGTGGTGAGGTTTTGACGTGTAGGTGTTTCACATATCAGGCCATTGACCGGAGCTTTGTTGATGCTGCATTTCATCCAGAACTGCCTAAAGTGGCCACACACTTCTGACCTGCCGCTGGGCACCCTGAAAGCCAGTGTCCCTCACCAGGAACTGTTAAGCCAGCATGCTCATTTGCCAAGCATGATAGTGAAGAGCAGCCAGAAGGTTGGTGCCATTGTCACACATGACCTGGCCTGTGATAAGCTGGCATGGGGGCAGCCACCACCCAGCCTGTTTGTCCCTGAAGAGCCTTCAAAGTCTATGGTCCAGTGTAGCTCCTGTCCTCAAAGCAAACCAGCTTCAGATTGTCATGGCAGCATTGTGCCTGGGACATTGCATAGACTCTGGGGTGCTTAGGGGAACTGATGGTTCTGAGGCATCATTGCCTGAGGAAATTGAAAAGATGGGAGAGTTGGCTATGTAATCACCATCACCAAGGTGCAGGACATTGGGAAGCACAACCAGTTCCAGTTCTGTGCTTCATCCTGCATCCTTCTTAGCTGCTACATTATTTGCCCAGTGTGCTGTGAAGATGATATACAGTTCCAGCCCACGTTTGCTGGATCCAGCAAAAGCCAACAACCTACCGAGCAAAATGGGAGATGTTGATGGTGTCAGTGATGAGAATGGAGTTGAAGTTCCAGAAACACGGCTTGGCTCCTCCCAAGACTGGGCTGTTTGTATTCATGCTGATCCTCGTGTTTAGAGGGACACGGGACATAGAAAAGATGGAGGGGGGTTTCTCTATGTTAGCTGTGATGTGAAAGTGAGGAAAGAAAGATGACCTTGTGGTTGGAGGTGGTGGTGTGGAGAAGGAATTACGGGAGGAATGATAGATGGGTCTATGGACTGATGGACTTATCATTGGAGTATACTACAGACGTCCTGAGGTCTATGAGAAGAGGAAGAGTCGGCTGTTCTAATAAGGTGATGGTGCGGAGGAGGAATTACGGGTGGAATGATAGATGGGTCTATGGACTGCTGGACTTATCATTGGAGTATACTACAGACGTCCTGAGGTCTATGAGAAGGGGGAGAGTCGGCTGTTACAACAAGGACAAGCTGGGAACACCAAACTACTAAGACACAAGATGGAGACTAAAACCTACAGGATGGGCCGTACTTGTAGTGTTAGAGAAAGGAATAAAGGAGAACATTTCATCACACAAATCTGAAGGAAGACTTTTATCAATCAATTTACATCACGAGTTTATGAATGGAAATATTTAATCTACATTTGTTTCATGCTAAAAAATGTGTTAATACTTTTGCATTTTTATCAGGTAACTATGACATTTTACATCTGAAATGTAACTTTTTTCACTTTCAAGCAGCAGGTGGCACTCTCCAAGCAAATGAAGCTGCCTGTGCAGGTTGATGACTGAACTAAAATGGTCAGTCCTGCCGTGTAGTCTGATCTCCCCTTCTCTCCATCCACAAGCAATAGCTAGCTCCTTTCTCACTATGATGTCTTCCATGGAAGCTTCTTCTCTTCTGCTAAAGGTCAGGGGAGATCAGACTACACTGCTAGAGGGACCAACCAGCAGTGACCCCCCCTCCTTCTCTCTCACCATGATGTCCTCCATAGAAGGTTCTGCTGAAGGTCAGGGGAGATCAGACTACACTGCTAGAGGGACCCTACCAGCAGAGACCCCCCCCCCCCTCCTCTCTCACCGTGATGTCCTCCACGGAAGCTTCTGCTGAAGGTCAGGGGAGATCAGACTACACTGCTAGAGGGACCCAACCACCAGTGACCCCAGCCTTCTTCTCTCTCCTAGCAGAGGAAGCCAGACACAATTTTGAAGTCTTTAGTGATCTCTGATCTCCTTATAAAGTGTTTCTTCCATGATAAAGATCAGAGGAGCGCTCAGCCACGTGTTTTCTGAGGTGTATATCAAGGTGTGCTTCTTCCCAGTTTGAGATCTCTGATGTACGGCAACATATCATCCATATAGAAGACATTTCCCGCACTTAAGACACTAATACATCTGGAGGGATCTGTGCGTTTTCTGATGTTTGGTAAGATAGGACTTCTGTGAAAAACATTTCCCGCACTCAGGACAGGAATACGGCCTCTCTCCTGTGTGAGATCTCTGATGTACATCAAGGTTTGTTTTATGCATATAACATTTCCCGCACAGTAGACAGGCATACGGCTTTTCGCCACTGTGAGATCTCCGATGTTTGGAGAGACTGGAACTCTCTGAATAACATTTCCCGCACTCAGGGCAGGAGTACGGCTTCTCCCCTGTATGAGACCTTAGATGTATAACAAGGTCTGATTTGTTTATATAACATTTCTCACACACTGGGCAGGCGTACGGCTTCTCGCCAGTGTGAGAGCTCCTATGCCTGGCAAGCCTGCACTGCTCCGAAAAACATTTCCCGCACTCGGGGCAGGAATACAGCTTCTCCCCCGTGTGATACCGTTGATGTTTAACAAGGTTTGATTTCTGCGAAAAACATTTCCCACACTCGGGGCAGGAATACGGCTTCTCCCCCGTGTGAGATCTCTGATGAATGATAAGAACCGATTTGTGCGTATAACATTTCCCGCAGTCAGGGCAAGAAAACGGCTTCTCCCCCGTGTGAGATATTTGATGTTTAACAAGTTCTGACTTCTGTGAAAAACATTCCCCACACTCGGGACAGGAATACGGCTTCTCCCCCGTGTGAGATCTTAGGTGTATAACAAGCACCGATTTCTGCGTGTAACATTTCCCGCACTCAGGGCAGGTATACGGCTTCTCCCCCGTGTGGGACCTATGATGTTTAACAAGTTCCGTTTTCCTTGAAAAACATTTCCCGCACTCTAGGCAGGCGTATGGCTTTTCCCCCGTGTGAGATCGCTGATGTATAACAAGAACCGATTTGTGTCTGTAACATTTCCCACACTCTGGGCAGGAATACGGTTTCTCACCCGTGTGTAGCCTCAGGTGCCGGGAAACAAGGTGCTTCTGTGAAAAACATTTCCCGCACTCAGGGCAGGAATACAGCTTCCCACCCTTGTGGGACCTCTGATGTCCAGGAAGACTCAATTCAGAGTGGAAACTTTCCCCGTGATCAGAATATGAATATTCCCTCCCTCCCCGAATCCCGGCCCCATCCCCCACACTACGAGGTTGCTCGGAGTCAGAGGGAGTCCATGGTCCCAGGCTGTAAAGTCTGCCGTCCATATGTGGGGTTATCGTCTTCTCTCCGGCATAGTCCCAGGTGAGGTCCTCATTTTCTATGATACAATACGGAGGAAAAGCCAGACGATCCTTCGAGGGTTCCTCCAGGGCGGGGACTGGAAAAAAAAACAACAGATTTGTATAGAAGACATGACCGTAGACCTGGACTGATGGTGAGCACTGGATGGAGCCTGCAGCACGATTTTCTCCTGCTTCCCATTGGTTGCTTAGGACGCAGGCAGGTGCCGGCTACAACCAGTGATGTCACCCAACCCCCTTCACTTGCATGGCTGGCAATCCCCATGTGAGCAAAGGAGCTGGGGAGAGTTGGGGGAAAAAACGATGATTCCCCCCAAAAGTTATAGCATTCCCTATATCAGCTCTCCCCGGTCCCAGCATTCGCCATATCCGCTCTCCCCGGACCCAGCATTCGCCATATCCGCCCTCCCCAGTCCCCGCATTCGCCACATCCGCCCTCCCCGGACCCCACATTCGCCCTCCCCGGACTCCGCATTCGCCCTCCCCGGACCCCGCATTCGCCACATTCGCCCTCCCCGGACCCCGCATTCTCCACATCCGCCCTCCCCGGACCCCGAATTCGCCACATCCGCCCTCCCCGGACCCCGCATTCACTATATCCGCTCTCCCTAGGGGGAGAGGGGAGAGAGTACATGCTTGTTCCCCCCTTTTCTGGCCAGCCAGGCTGCATGTTTGGATAAGGATCATGTGTGGATTTTTGCTTTAAATTCATACCAGACTGCTATGAATTATGCAGTAACAGAGCAGAGATAAGAGAAGAATATACACACACGGCTCCAACAAATGAAAGGAAGACTTTGAGAACCCATCAGATGTCAATGGGGACAAATCTCCTGCTGGATCTCTATACTGACATGGACGGGGGGATGGGTGAGGAACGTAAGAACGCCCCATCGTTTGATGGAAATGAAAATGATCGACCTACAGAGGACTGAATTCACAGACACACCCCGAAAATCAAAGTGAAGAAATGATGCAGCAGGAGGGGATTCCATATTGGTGAAATGTCATTGCAGCAACTCAGAATGGTCCTCAGTAGTCTGTGTGGCCCCCACGTGCTTGTATGCATGCCTGACAACGTCGGGGGAGGGTCCTAATGAGACCACGGATGGTGTCCTGGGGGATTTCCTTCCAGATCTGGACCAGGGCGTCACTGAGCTGCTGGACAGTCTGAGGTGCAACCTGGCAACGTCGGATGGACCGAAACATGACATCCCAGAGGGGTTCTATTGGATTTAGGTCAGGCGAGTTTGGGGGCCATTCAATGGTATCAATTCCTTCATCCTCCAGGAACTGCCTGCATACATGAGGCCAGGCATTGTCCTGCACTAGGAGGAACCCAGGACCCCCTGCACCAGGGGGAACCCAGGACCCCCTGCACCAGGAGGAACCCAGGACCCACTACACCAGCGTAGGGTCTGACAGTGGGTCCAAGGATTTCATCCCCTACCTAATGGCAGTCAGGGTGCCATTGTCTAGTCCGTAGAGGTCTGTGCGGCCCTCCATGGATATGCCTCTCCAGACCATCACTGACCCACCACCAAAACGGTCATGCTGAACCATGTTACAGGCAGCAGAATGTTCTCCACGGCTTCTCCAGACCCTTTCACGTCTGTCACATGTGCTCAGGGGGAACCTGCTCTCATCTGTGAAAAGCACTGCCAATTCTGGGGTTCAATGGCAAATGCCAATCCAGCTCTATGGTGCCGGGCAGTGAGCACAGGGCCCACTAGAGGATGTCCGGTCCTCAGGCCACCCTCATGAAGTCTGTATCTGATTGTTTGGTCAGAGACATTCACACCAGTGGCCTGCTGGAGGTCATTTTGTATGGCTCTGGCAGGGCTCATCCTGTTCCTCCTTGCACAAAGGAGCAGATACCGGTCCTGCTGATGGGTTAAGGACCTTCTACGGCCCTGTCCAGCTCTCCTAGAGGAACTGACTGTCTCCTGGAATCTCCTCCATGCTCTTGTCTCCTGGAATCGCCTCCATGCTCTTGAAACTGTGCTGGGAGACACAGCAAACCTTCTGGCAATGACACGTATTGATATGCCCTCCTGGAGGAGTTGGACTGCCTGTGCAACCTCTGTAGGGTCCAGGTATCGCCTCATGCTACCAGTAGTGACACTACCAGATCCATATCCCAGGAGTGGTCATTGACTTGATGCTAGACTCGGATTACAAAGTCTGCCTTTCATTTTTTTGAGCAGTGTATTCTGGTCACCTGTGCTGATCTCTGTAGGAGTGTCCTCCTCTATGAATGTCCTCCTCATTCCAGCCTCCTCCATATATTGCTGATCATCCCTCACATACATCTCTTCTACTTCACCCTCAACTTCCATGATCAGATCTTCACCCTAAACCAACAGAATGGCAGAAAATAACATCTGTAACATAGAAGGATTTATGATGTGAGATCACATAGAACATATCATCTTGTAGAGTCCACACATCGTCTCCACATGTCAGAGTGTTCCATCACTTTATGTTCCCGACCCTCAACTCCACCTACCTGATGATGGTGTGGGATGGTGTGACCTTCCTTTGTAGAATCCCGGGAATACAGAGGACGGGGACATCTCTCTGGTGGGTTCCCACGACTGGATCCATCTACCTGATGATGGTGGGGGGGATGGTGTGACCTTCCGGTGTGGAATCCCGGGAATAAAGAGGACGGGGACATCTCTCTGGTGGGTTCCCATGACTGGATCCATCTACCTGATGATGGTGAGGGATGGTGTGACCTTCCTGTGTGGAATCCCGGGAATACATAGGACGGGGACATCTCTCTAGTGGGTATCTACTAGGTGGCTCCATCATGTATCTATCTGAAAACTTCTCCATCACACCATACTCTTCGTCCTCCACTTTATACTCTTCTTTTAAAACAATATTATAATCCTTGAGGTTTACACTCTAAATATATAATAAGACATTCATTGTAACAAAAACATGCTGTGTATAAATCACAACTACCAATAATTGACAATCAATCACTTACCTGATGATGATGATGGATGGTGTGACCTTCCTGTGTGGAATCACGGGAATACAGAGGACGGGGACATCTCTCTGATGGGTTCCCATGACTGGATCCATCTACCTGATGATGGTGAGGGATGGTGTGACCTTCATGTGTGGAGTCCCGGGAATACAGAGGACGGGGACATCTTTCTGGTGGGTTCCTGTAGCTGGATGACTCCACCATGATGTCCTGGTACAGATCTTTGTGTCTTTCTGGAATCTCTGACTCCTCCATCACCCCATCCTCATCATCCTCCTCTTTTATCTCTTCCTTAACATCAACTTTATCATCTCCTGGGTTTCCGCTCTGAATATATAATAAAATGACATCAATGGTAACAATGCAGATAATGTACAGATCCTAATGATACTATCAGTGATTGTTTCTCATCTACCTGATGATGGTGAGGGATGGTGTGACCTTCCTGTGTGGAATCCCGGGAATACAGAGGACGGGGACATCTCTCTGGTGGGTTCCCAAGACTGGATCCATCTACCTGATAATGATGAGGAATAGTGCGACCTTCCTGTGTGGAATCCTGGTACTCCCGAGGATGGGGACATCTCTCTGGTGGGTTCCCATGACTGGATCCATCTGTAGGAAACATACACACTGACTGAATCCATTGTTTCTATGTGTTTATCAGATGATGGGAGATCTAGGTGGACCCTCCTGCCATGGATGAGGGGAATAAAAGGTAAAAAGGGAAGAGGAAGGCTAACTGGCATGGATCTTCAGAAATCTAACAGCAAGCTGGGAGATTGTCACGAGTACTCCAAGCTCCTCAGTCATGCAACACCACACACACTAGTATCCTACAACTGCCACCAGATAGGGTTGGTGAGTAACTATGGCGAGGGCCTTGTTTGGTAAAGGAAGACTGAAAAGAAATCTTATTCTGAGCAGCTCAGAAACAGTTGTCACTGCCCCCACAATGTCCACTGGTCCACTGTCTGGTCTGGATATGAAGAAGAGTCTGTAAGTGACCACTTGGAAGGAAGTGACCATGGAACTGAGGACCCTCATACAAAGAAAAGTATGCAGAGAAGTTAGATGAAGGACATGAAGATGCAGCTTCTGAAGTTTTTCCTCCGGAAGGAAAACTCTGGCCATAGTGATGTCCAGGATAAGTCCCAGGTAGTCCAAGCAAGAAGAGGGGAGAAGGACGGACTTGCAAAGATTCAGTGTCCATCCAAAGTCTGCCAGTGACTTGATCGTGATGGAAGATTGTGTTCCAGATTTCATGTAGACTGTACTTTCAGGAGCAGGTCGTCCAGATAGGCCACAATCGATGTCACGCGGAGATGCAGAAAGCCTACAGCAGAGCCAGTACCTTGGTGAAGAATCATGACTCTGACGCCAGTCCAAAAGTAAGGAATGTCCCCTAAAACCAACCAAAACAGTGGAACTGTTGGTGGTTGCGGCAGATGTCCCGCAGAGGCGCAGGAGAGCCTAAAACCAAAACAGCAGAACTGTTGGTGGTTGCGGCAGATGTCCCGAGGAGGCGAAGGAGAGCCTACAGCAAAGCCAGTACCTTGGTGAAGATCACGACTCTGACGCCAGTCCAAAAGTAAGGAATGTCCCCCAAAATCAAAATGGTGGAAATGGTGGTTGCGGCAGATAGGTATGTGGAGATAAGAGGCCCTGGTGTTGACCAAGGCCAGGAGATCCCCATGGTGTAGAAAAGCTACAGCAAAACGCAGATTCCATCCAAAAAGACCTTAAGATCCAGAATTTAGCAGACAGCGTCTTTCTTTGGAATTGTGAACAAAATAGAAGTCCCTGAACCTTTCAGAGGATGGAACAGAGGCAATCACCTTCTGATCCAGGAGCCCTTGAGCTGCAGAATGCAGGTCAGCCAGATGCTGAGGTGAAAGATGCAAGTTGGATGGAAAGAAATGATTCAGCAGAAAGAACTGTAACTTTATCTTGCAGCCAGAAG